AACCCCTCCGAAAAAGGTAAAGAAACAAGCTGTCACTGAACTCATCTGGATCTGAATAAGCAGCAGCCAAATGTGAAAGAGTGATGCTAATCCAGTGTTTGTGCCACTGTCACCTCCGCGTGGCTCTGAGCCCCTCCCATGAGAGGACAGAGACCGTCGGGGACGCCATGCTTTAGCAGCTACGCCGGAAAGATGGCGGGAGCATTCACATCGCTGCTGGTGTCAATCCCTCCCAGTTTAAAACGTGGACCGCGTGTCCATCAGCACTCAGCCCTGTTGCGTTTCTAATCCCTTCTATTGATGATTTCTTTACCTTTCACTTCACGAAAAATGTATAAAAAGTCTAAACGTAAAAATGAAGAAGAAGCAGGAATGTTAGATCCCCGTGATGAACTCACCCTCTCCAGGGCAAAGGTCCGAACCGTGTAGTCGGCCAGCGTTTCTGACTTCAGCAGAGTAATTTTGACGTCGCCGTACATCTCGCTGTCATCAGGCCAGTATTTACAGCACTTCACCTGTTGCACAAAACCAACAACACTTTTCCGTAAAAACACACAAGATCCAAACTTTTGTTTCTGTAAGTGAAAAAAATTCATCTGCACTGTTATCAAACCAGCCGCCATTATGAATCTAGCACGAAGCCGCCGCCCTCCAGATGCTGCAGCAGAACAAACACAAGCTGCAGATATTGTACAGAGGGGCATAGACAGAGCCAGCAGAAAGCTAAATAATGACATAATGACGGACAGCATAATGGAACAGGAAGGCATCATTTTTTATGCCATCACCAGACACAATGGAGGTCCGTTTTTTCATTTAATGGAGGTGTTATTTGGATTCTGCCACACAGACCACTTCTGGTTTATTGACTGTTTCCAGAATTGTGAGGAAGGGGAACCAAATTGGATGAAGAGCTTCTGTTAGAAAAATGGTGCCATTTTAACCATCTGCTGAGGTGATCCGTTTCTCTGGCCTGAACTGAAAAGGACAGGATGGTTCAGGTAGAAATGATAGCAAATGTGCAGTAAAACACAATGCTGCTACTCTACGGGATGCCAGCCCAAAATAAACTATGTTTATGGGTTGAACACATTTTATGATGCTTTTCTCAATTTTTATTATAGGCCACAAAAACTTCATGGTCTAGTCCAGGGCTATTTAATTCTGGGTCTCGAGGGCCGGTGTCCAGCATGTTTTGGTTTCAACTCTGCTTCAACACGCCTGATTTCAATCAGCAGGTGATTAACAGGTGTCTGCAGAGCCTGATGAGCTGCTGCACAGGTGATTCAACCCGAGTCTACTGTGTTGGATTAGAGAACCACTAAAACGTGCTGGATACCGGCCCTCGAGGCGCAGAATTGAATAGCACTGGTGTAGTCTGTACAGTATTCTAAATATTTAAAGAGTGAAACACTCGTTGAATCAATACAATCGCAGTGGATTCAAGTAGGAATGAACGCCGTCTAAGTCATACTCGGGCAGGGAGGGGCGATCTCCGATGAACCTGATTACTAGAAAATTGCCACATCAGAGTTGAGCTTCAGACGACAGAATTTAGAGTCCTGATATTTGCACTTCTTGCCTCTGATTGGCTGACGGCAACGCAACTCTACCACTGATGTTTGCTCTGCACTGCTGATATTTTATCTCCACAAAGAACACAAGTCTGAAGGAGTTCTGCTGTGTGGTGAAGTAGCTAATGCTAACGGTTAGCTTCTACTAGCCGAGACATTCTCTGCTGTTTCCCGGACGCTAAACCAACAGCAGCTTTCCCCGTGAGTTAAGATGGGGGAGTCCGTGAACATTCAGTGAAAGTGTGATGTAGATCTGAGGATTGTCTAATCCTAGAGTTTCATCGTCGATTTTCCATCAGAAGCTGATGCAGGAGATCCAGGTGTAGGAGACTATTTTCATGTTCAGTCTGCATTAAAAACCTCAGTGTGACTGATTATAATCAGAAATGATCGTTAAAAAAAGATTTTTCAGTGTTCCATAAGGTATTTGAGCTCGTTTGAGATGAGCTTAAGGTTTTTGCTGATGTACACGTTAGCTGTGAGTTGTAAGCTAACAGGTGAATACCTGTAAGTCAGCTCGAAGCTGGACAAAAGGAAGCCACTGTAGCCTAAAGCCTAGTTCATGCTTCTGCGTCAGCTCAGCGATGGAGAGACGCACACACATTGACGGAGACGTTTTTCCTTCGGACTTCTCTACCCCCTGGGGAGTGTAGCAAAGCAATTCCCCGCGAGGACAGCAGAGGGGTTTTCTGCGATATCCTGTCATGTATCTGGTCCAAGTTAGTGCATTTACTATTGCGTTTAAATAGCGTTCTCCATCTCGTTTGATGGACGTTTAGAAACGTAGGCTCGACTCGGCCCATCCTTGTGAGCCTGTTGGAGCGCCCACACAACGACGGATAACGGCGTTGTGAATCTCCGCACCGACACAGAAGCATAAACTGGGCTTAAAGAGCAAGTAACGTCTAAATTAACTTTTTTTTGCTGATGAACTGTAAAAATGAGTGTCTAATAGTATTTTAAATGTGTGCATTCTTTATTTTAGCATTTTGGTGCATTTTCTTTAAAAATAAAAAATTCTGTCTAAAAACCACAGTAATGCGCCACCTTCAGCTGAAAACATAGAATTTGAGTCATTTTGAATAAATTTTAGCCAATGGCTAAAGAGTAAAGTACTACGTAAACCAGTAGAGTACTACGTAGCAGCTCCGTGCCAAAGTTATAAAAGCAACGAGCGTCTCGGCCACGCCCTGTGGCGAGTGGGAGTTGGATTTGCAAGTGAGTGTAGGAGGTCAGCGGTAGTTCAGCATTAGCATATAGCATTAGCATATCCTAGTCTTAGCATATCTTTTAGTGTTATAAATACTTATTTAGTGTTAGATTTGGCTGTTTGATATTGTAGTTTAGTTAGTGTTTGGCTGTTAGTGTAATTGGGAAAGTATTTCGGGTTTAGTGCTCCATATCGTGTTAGTATTGGTGAGTAGGTGTAGTGTAGTATGCTTGCGGTGACTCTGTGGGCATTTTACCCGCGATTCTGCACGTCTCCGTTTGAAGAGGGAGGCTGCCCACCGTGGCTCTTCCGCGATTTAGATGCAGCCCACCGACTCTGCTCCCCCACCACGGCGGGCTCCAGTCTGAGGTGAGTAAGCTAAATAAACGTTTTAACATCTTCTAAAGACAATTCCCTACCTAAATGCAAAGTCTGAGAGACGTGGTTCACTTCCTTTAGCTAGTCAGTCGGCAATTCTGCAACAGTGGCTCTAACTGACGCAGCACTTGACAGACAGCATTACAGCGTGAAATCCAGCTTGTGAACAGGTTCTGTGAGGAATTCTGTTCAGGAGGTCGCATTTCAGGCTCTCCACATCATGTGTGACTGACTTTTACGTTATAATGATCACACACTAGGAATGTTATAAAGCACCTATATAGGAGATTCTTTTGTATATTATCTGACTTTATAAACTCCCAACAACAATGTGCTTATATATTTTTTTCAGGCTAAATCTACCCAAGACACTGGCTGTCAGACTGATTTAGCTGCAAGAATGCACTTGTCTGGGCTGATGTGAAACCTTTCCTGTAGCAAAGGTGAATTATTTTTAATAATCTTCTATGTAAACATTTTATTATTACCTTCTAGTTTTAATTTGTTTTACAGATTATTGTTACACGTGATTTTATGCTCTTTTAAACATTTATAAATGTGCTGCTTCTTTGTTTTACATAGCCAGCCAGAATGGAGTTCACAGCCGCAGTGTGTCTGGTGACCCACGGGGACCATGATGAAAATTCATCTTCCAGAAGGTCCCAGAGCAGCGGCCACACCCCCTGAAAAGACCAAGGTGTGAGGTGTCTGCTGTTGATTCCAGCTTCCACCTCAGTGACAGTGCAAGCTCAGTGAACTGTTCAAGGTAAAAAAAAATTAAAACATTTCAGAATTTTTAAGATATTAACAATTAAATAAGTATGTGATTACATCATGACGGAGGCTACTGATTCTGCCCCCGTGACACTTGGTGGTGACGTGTGAGCTGATTCACCTGGAAAACAACTTTTACATAAAATATTTTGTTTTTGCTACCAAAAGTAAATTAACTAAAAACCTGCATTATTGCAGGACACTCAGCAAAATATGGACTCTACACCATGAGGCAGGCACACATTAATAACTCTATAACAGCACATAAGGTGAGCAACAACACATATAGTACACTGTCCTGAATTTGTTTTCTTTCTGCATCTCATTAGCCTGGCTGATCACCTGATAACTCCTGTCATCTGGTTATGACAGCATGAGGATGTCCTCACACACCTTTAACCTATCAGTTCATCTGGCAGAATAGAGAGAGAAGAGACAACACCACATCTCCTGTTCCTGGAAAGCCTTCAGCCATCCTTCGATGACTGAGAACCTCCATCAGCTCTGTCTCCTCTCTGCCTACAATTATTATAATAAATATTGTGTTTGACAAGTTTTTTTGTGCTGCCAAATATCTCATATAGATTCCAGTTTTGATATTTTAATGGATATTTATAAATTACATTAATTGAATTATCACAATGCATGTTTAACTTGCTCTATTGTGATGAATTAAACTAGCACCTCACTGTTAAAAGCTCGTTTTAATTTCAAGCATGTTTAAGTATTTATGGACATGAACAAAAACAGGAAATATATAAATTGAGATTTATTTAATTAATATAACAAATAAGGAGGAAAGAGTCATTGAAAGGCACATTCTTCTGGAAGCTCCTGATCCTGATGGCACCAGCAGAGGAGACCACCTGCAGACACCAGAGACCAGCTGCAGACACCAGAGGACCTAGAACCAAGAGAGCAGCTGTTATCAGTAAATAAATAAATCAGGGCAGTTTTAGTGAGCTGAACACATTACAGAATAATTTTCTCATGGGGTATTTTCATAACTTTATGCAGCAGACTGTAACTTGAGCCCAGAGCTACCGGAGAGCTGCTATCCAGCACGTTTCAGTGGATTTTCCTGCTTTAACAGGTTAGATTAGCTGTTAAGCAGCTCAGCTATTTGTTGCTGATTAAAACCAGGTGTGCTGAAGCAGATAAACCTCTAAAACATGCTGAATACTAGCTCTCCAGGGCCGTGGAGACAAACCCTGCAGCTAATCCAATGCTATGGCTAACGGCTACTTACATTCAGAGGTGGTTCTGTTGGGTCGGTTCTGGGAGTTACAGGCAACTCACAAGCTCACAACAATAAGGCTCAGGTCCTCTTGTCTCCTCCAAATAGACTTGGTCCCTTTCTTCTCGAGTGTCTGGGTAAGGAGGGGGAGAAACATCCTCCACTTCTAATAACTGCATAGAGTGAAGGGAGCTAGCATCGTCTAGTTAGCCGTCGTCTTCGTCACTGCCGCGGCTCCGCCCTCTCGGTCCTCCAGGCAACGCCTACTAATGTTGCATTTTTTAAAATTGATACGTGGGTAGAGAAGGACTCCGAGGCTCAATTGACCCGCTCTTTAAATATTTGTAAAACAACAACTGTTGGAGCTAAAAGGCGTGCCTGTGAACCAAGGTCACACGTGCTCTGCAGAACGCCAGCATCCCGTTTTTTCAGTCAAGGTTTGAGATCAGTTCCAGTAAGAATATTTATCTGAAGCCGACAGCAAGCAGATGGTTTGGTCCAGAATCTGCTGGAAACATGTTTCAACTTGTGTGTGTGTGTAAGGTCCATTTACTGGTTATGCAAGGCTGACGTCAGTAAAGTATTGAAATAGTCTCTGATTTGACGTGAGTTAGGCTTTTCGAGGAGGTTCGGCTGAAGGCTCTGGCATTCGGCGACCCGCTGTCCTACAGAACTTGTTTGTAGAACTGAAATAAAGCTCCACGCTGTGACGGACAATTGTCTAATCTTTCGTGTCTTATTGAATTCATAAAAGGAACCCACACAACGAAAATATGGGCAGATGTTCTGAAACCCAATAATTACTCATCCGTCAGCTTAACACTTACGCTAATGGCTAGGCTAATTACAAGCTAGCTGTACAGTTACTGATGGGTGATAAATTCCTACAAGGTTATTATGTGTTACAGTTTTTTTCATGGGTGTACGGCCCTTTGATCGTTGAAAAGCTTTTTATGAATAAAGTTGGTGACCGTAACAATGAAGGCCCCATCCCAATACTCACACTGCGCCCTATGGTCTTCTGTGAAGTGCACTTGGAGGAAATGCTTCGAGTGTGTAGTGCACGAGTGTGCAGATAATTGTCGAATTGGGTCAAGGAGCATTGCATCATCAACCGCAACGCATTCCTGGATGCCAGTTGCTGTTTGTGCTACCTTAAAAATATATATCTTTATTATCAACTCCAACAAACAACTGAGCAATTTTTCTTTAAACATCTTTTGAGTATTCATTCTGTGTTTCTTCTGATTGCATTAATTGGTTCTTTTTTAACACAAGAAAGGTTGTTTTTGAGTGAGAAGGAAACAAGTCGAAGACACACAAGAGCAGCAAAACAAGAAGCAGAAAGTACAATAAAGAAATCAGCCGTAATGGACCACTGCACCGGAGAAAACCACAGAATGGACTGAAACAGGACAAGGATCATAAACACAGAACATCAGACATACAAAAGATGGATCAAAGAAGGGATAGAAATAAGGAGACGCGGACAAACAACAATGAACGGAGACGATGGGGTCTTCACATTGGATCACGCATGGCACTGTGTCATCGATGAGGAGAGCGCGGGCAGCAGAGGGCGACACTGTCCTCTGCTGCCCGCAGACAAACGGAAAAGGAAGTGATGCCGCTGTTAGCGGCTAGTTCTGCAGAAGACTGTAGGAGTGGTCGAAACTGTCAGCAAAAAGGTAAAACACGATGTTCCTGTGTTAAAGAAACTATTGATGCAAGCTGAACATTTATTCGACTAAACTTACATTCATTGCTGTCCACATGAAATCTCTGTCTAAACATTCAGAGCATGAATAAATTTCATTAATCGTCCTAAAATGAACTACTTTCACATGAAAATACTCATTTTCAGAAAAGGCACTTGAGTCTGTGCTCCGCCTTCTTCTCAAAATTCCCACGCAGCAATGCATTGTGGGTTAGGGTTACCCTTCGCCCACGTTCGCATTGACGTGGACTTGAGCGAAGTGCAGATCAAGAGTGCAAAAGGGGCGTGGTCAACTTGCACGCTTAAAAATCGGGACACCTTATGCACTCGCACTCCTGGATGGGAAGGCACAATTGAAAGGCACAAGGGTGGAAGTGTGAGTATTGGAATTGGGCTGAAGATATCCTGATGTCATGTGACATCCACACCATCCACAGCAAAGCTTTGAGAAAATGTCCACCATATTTTAAAAGATGCAAACAAACCTAAGAGTTCATCTGAGAAATGGCCCCAAAAGCTGGCATTTATTGGACTATTTTATTTATTGCACATAAATATAGACTTATGTTAGTTATAATGGAATTAATACCCAAGTTATAAACTATTTCACCTCATTAAAATGAATTATTTTAGGTAAAATTACTTAAAGATTTTTCTGTTATTGCATGGATTGTTAATTTGCTGACCAGTGTGTTTGCACCTCCAACACTCTGGCATTGATGCGGTTTCTATGGAGACAGAGCTCCTCCAAATGTATCAAGCAGTCTTTTAAACCAATTGTTTTATTACTTTAAACAGTCAAGTAGATCAACACCAAACAGCCTTCAGGCTGCAGATGCTTGAACAGGAAAAGTTTTCCAAAAACACATCCTTCAAAGAAAAAAGGGCTTTTTCAATAAACAGCAGACTGTTTCATTTTGATGGCTTCAGAAGGCTTTTGAATGGTGGGTTGGTGACAGAAGGGGGGGATAAGAGTGTAGATGACGTACCCTGCCAACCTCCACCAGCTTAGTGATCATGACGATGCTGAAACAGTTTTCCTGCCACACCATCCTCCAGAAATCATACAGAGTCTCCTGCTTGGGCCCTGGAGGGAAGAAGAACAAAATAACAGAAAAAGGGAGAAGATGTGCTGCATCAAAGCCCGACTTCTCAAGAAGGGACTCTGCTGTTGTGAAATCTTGTATATTAGTGACCAGAGTGTCATTCCTCAGATGACAGGGTTCTGATCTCTCAGGATTGTGCCTTGAACAAAGTTATTGGGAATTCCAGGCAGACAGAAGGGGGGGGGGGGGGGGGGGGGTATAGCTTAGAAAGCAACAGCAGAAGCCGATGATGAAAGTCTTGAGCAGGGACCAGCAGTCACTCACTGTCATCTGAGAGGGGAGACATTTAGGAAGCAAGTCACAGCTTGAAAACTGGGGGAAGAATATTGAGCGAGACAAAAGGCACCGCTGACACCCTTCCTCCCTCTCTTGCAAGTTTCATCTGCTTCTCTGAATGGAACAGGAGGGGAGAGGGGTGTCGGTGCAAGATAAGCAGATGTGAGCGGTGGGAACTACAGAAACCAGTCCTCCAGAGACAGAGGAACTTTCTGTAACCATCCAATCTTTATTATTTAGTTTGTGACGTCTGGATTGGGGTTATGTGCGCGCTGTGAGAGCGTCTGAGCTCGTTGGTCTGATCATCTTCAAAATGTTAAACTGTGACCAAAAAAAAAAAAAAAAAGAAGTGTTCAGCGTTATTAAATCCATACACTGAAGTCTCGTGGGGATACTCACCCTGAGTGGCGATGAAATGGTTGGATCGATGGTAGCCCTGGAAGAGAAGAGAGGAATGACACGCGGAGTAAGTCATCTGAGCCTGGGGCACATGAGTAAGGGAGGGCGTCTCATCCTGTGTCCCCCTTTTCCTCCCTCGCTCGCTCTCCTTCTGACCCCCCGTCTGCCACTGTGAAACATATCTACGGACCAATCCAGATGCAAGCACGCAAAGGGTTCAAAACGTTGAGCCAAACGTCTCTGGATCATGAGCAAACAACGTCTGAGTCCTCCAGGCAGTTTAGTGGCGACATGACGTGACGACACAAACGCTTTTATTTCAAGTGTCTAATCTAATGATCTTTTAAAAAATAGCACAAATCAACCCACTTAGCCTGAAGGTGGAGTTTGTGCTGTACACCCTTCCACGCATAAGTCAAACAAGTGCAACGCTAACTTACGTAAATGCATGACGGCAACACAAACTGCCTTCAAGAGCAAAATTAATTATGAGCAGCAAAGTAGTCGGAAAACCTTTATATCAAAAGACGCGACGACCTTTGATATAGATGAGAGGTGTTTTCACACACAGCTTCATGGGGTGGATATGAACGAACAATGACAGGTCGCCTCTACGGCCTTGAGGCAAACAAACATGACAAAGACCACACCGGGGACTTTCAATTAGAAACACTTTTAGGGCAAGCCAACTGTTAAAAGGAGACAAACAGCTGAGCTAACCTCTGCCTTTCTTTGAGAACGTCACCTAGAGGAGCGCGCCGATGCTGCGGTTGGTTGGATGCTGCAGGTGTCTGACTACCACGACTCCGATGAGTCGGTAGGAAGCCCAGATCTGCTTTGACGCTGCGCTCTTTGCTGTAGATAACAGCGCTGAGCTGGTCCTAGCGTGCCGAGTCGCAGGGCGGACGTGTTTAGATGAACGGGGACATGTTTGAAATGGAGATGGATGAACCGTAGCTGTGAGAACCGCTATCCACAATTCCTCAGGCCCCGGCCAAAACAACTCCATCATCGTGAGTACCACCACTCCTCTTCTCCTTCAGACAGTTGCTATGGCAACTAAACTTCCTGATTCTTGGCCGCTTACAAAAAGCTAACAGAGACAGCAGGGCCCTCTATTCAGAGAAGACACCGCTCTTTGTGTTCAGTTAAAATCTTTGCCCAGAAACATTTTGTTTTTGGGGTTAAAAGGTGCACCTGGAGCGCTTTGACCTTGGGCCGTTTGTGGATAGTGGACAAGGGGAAAAGAGAGGAGGGGAATGACAAAAATAAAGCAATGACAGGCAGAAGAATGAGCAGCGATGTACTTACTTCCCTGTTAATCCGAATCTACAGGGTCCAAGGTCGAGGAAGTGGGATGGGGAGTAGAAAAAGAAGACATATAGGCTAGTTAATGAAAATAGATTTAGGAGTTACAGACAGGTGGAAGGCCTGTGTGAGAATACAGGTGTGTTTATGTTAGTGTGCTCATTTATGGCCTTTATAATGCATCCTATAGGTTGACTTTCGTGGGAGTTGTAGCTAATTTAGTTCTGAGTTATTTGTTTTAGTGTACCTCAGAAACAGCATATATATATATATATATATATATATATATATATATATATATATATATATATATAGGGATGGGTACCTTTGACATTTGAATCGATCCGGTACTAATTCCCGGTACCTAGGAATCGATACCGGTACTTAACGGAACCAATTTTCGATACTTTTGAGTGTTTATTATTTTAATTCTCTTTTATAATTAAATATATATTTTTCTCAATATGTAACCATATTTGATAAATATCACGATAAATAACATACAACTGTTTGTATTTTAACATCGTCCTTGTAGTTTTATAAGCTGATAATTAAACTGAAGCAAACATCTTTACTGTGAACTAAATTTACTGTGTATCTTCATTCCTTTGGCCGTCTTTTTTCATTTGATTTTTCCTACTGGGAAGTTAGAATTTCCGAGGAGAAAGCGAACGCACCATTAGCTGATAACAACGGTGGCAATGGAAGCTAACATATCAAGCTAACGTTATCTTTAACAGTTTATTTAGCTGCTGGAGCAGATTAAAATGATGATGCCTCACACTTAGATCGTTGTCACTGGTTTCGTCTTCACCCGTTACATTTAGTAAAGTGAAGCCAAACTTTAGAGCACGTTCATGTTCTTCTAGTCGGGAATTCAGAGTTCCGAGGAGAAAGCGAACTCACCATTAGCGAAACGGAAGCTAACATATCAAGGTAACGTTATCTTAAACATTTTATTTACCTACCGGAGCAGATTAAGATGAGGATGTCTCACTTAGATCGTTGTCGCTGGTTTCATCATCACCCAGTTACCCATCACATTTAGTGAAGTGGAGCCAAGCTTTAGCGTGCGTTCTTTCTACCCATGCTGCTCTGTTTACAACTGGCTCGCAGCGACCAACGACATAACGCTCTTGCGCATGCGCAGCTGTCTAGACAAGTTCTCGTTATGAAGGACGGGTACCGAAACGAGGCACCGTTTGAAACGACGTGAATCGGTGCTCGGTCGGTACTATGGAATTCGGTCGGTACCTTAAAAAGTACCGAATTCGGTACCCATCCCTACATATATATATATATATATATATATATATATATATATATATATATATATATATATATATATATATATACAGGTGCTGGCCAGTAAATTAGAATATCATCAAAAGGTTGAAAATATTTCAGTAATTCCATTCAAAACGTGAAACTTGTACATTATATTCATGCAATGCACACAGACCAATGTATTTCCAATGTTCATTACATTTAAATTTGATATTTATAGGTGACAACCAATGAAAACATCAAATCTGGTATCTCAGAAAATTAGAATATTCTAAAGGCCAATGAAAAAATGTTTGTTTCTCTAATGTTGGCCAACTGAAAAGAATGAACATGAAAAGAATGTGCATGTATAGCACTCAATACTTAGTCGGGGCTCCTTTTGCCTCAATAACTGCAGTAATGCGGCGTGGCATGGACTCGATCAGTCTGTGGCACTGCTCAGGTGTTATGAGAGCCCAGGTTGCTCTGATAGTCGTCTTCAGCTCCTCTGCATTGTTGGGTCTAGCGTATTGCATCCTCCGCTTCACAATACCCCATAGATTTTCTATGGGGTTAAGGTCAGGCGAGTTTGCTGGCCAATCAAGGACAGGGATACCATGGTCCTTGAACCAGGTGCTGGTGGTTTTGGCACTGTGTGCAGGTGCCAAGTCCTGTTGAAAGGTGAAGTCTGCATCCCCATAAAGTTGGTCAGCAGCAGGAAGCATGAAGTGCTCTAAAACTTCCTGGTAGACGGCTGCATTGACCCTGGACCTCAGGAAACAGAGTGGGCCAACACCGGCAGATGACATGGCACCCCACACCATCACTGACGGTGGAAACTTTACACTGGACCTCATGCAACGTGGATTCTGTGCTTCTCCGCTCTTCCTCCAGACTCTGGGTCCTTGATTTCCAAAGGAAATGCAGAACTTGCTTTCATCAGAAAACATAACTTTGGACCACTCAGCATCAGTCCAGTCCTTTTTGTCCTTGGCCCAGGCGAGACGCTTCTTGCGCTGTTTCTTGTTCAAGAGTGGCTTGACACACGGAATGCGACACCTGAATCCCATGTCTTTCATGAGTCTCCTCGTGGTGGTTCTTGAAGCGCTGACTCCAGCTGCAGTCCACTCTTTGTGGATCTCCCCCACATTTTTGAATGGGTTTGTCGTCACAATTCTCTGCAGGGTGCGGTTATCCCTAGAGCTTGTACACTTTTTTCTACCACATTTTTTCCGTCCCTTCGCCTGTCTGTTAATGTGCTTGGACACAGAGCTCTGCGAACAGCCAGCTTCTTTAGCAATCACCTTTTGTGTCTTGCCCTCCTTGTGCAAGGTGTCAATGATTGTCTTTTGGACAGCTGTTAAGTCAGAAGTCTTCCCCATGATTGTGGTGCCTTCAAAACAAGACTGAGGGACCTTTTAAAGGCCTTTGCAGGTGTTTTGAGTAAATCAGCTGATTAGAGTGGCAGCAGGTGTCTTCTATATTCAGCCTTTTCAGAATATTCTAATTTTTTGAGATACCAAATTTGGAGTTTTCATTAGTTGTCACTTATGAATATCAAATTTAAATGTAATTAAAGCTGCAAGCAGCGTCGTTCGGCCCTCGCAGCTCCGCGCCGCTCCGGCCTGGCCGGCAGCCCGGGGCACCAGGGCACGTCCACGGAACAGAAACGTCGGCCACCCCGACACCAGAAACCGCCAATGGTCACCTCGTCCGCACCTCACCCTGACTCAGCATCCCCTCTGAGCCCACCATTATATTACATGTCTCACCACTAGGGCAAACTCTATCTTTACCACACTGGTGGTGTGATGACACAGACCAACTGTAATGCTTTTCTGACCACATTTTTTGAAGTTATTGTAGGTTAAAGTTTTTTAGGGGGCGCTGTGACCAACTACAGAAATATCCCATTGAGGTCAACTTTGGTTGACAAGATGTTTTCTGTTAATTTGGCATCAATCGGACAAAGAATGGCTTGGGGCTGACAGTTTTAATGAATCTAGGGGGTGCTAGTTCAGAAATAAGGCCACACCCACAATCTTCAGCTGTCTATTTCTCTTGGGGGTCAGACTAGGATCACTCACCAGAAGTTTCGTAGCGATATCACGAAAACTGAAGAAACGGGACGCAAACGTATTTCCTTGGCGTGATGGCGATTTTCGCCATGCTCCCAAAGCCCCGCCCTTTTTCTAAACCTACCTGTACTGGATAGCAAGTGACCTCAACTTGTCTACTGCTATTTGCCAGAGATTCCTATTGATTGGGTAAAAAGAGTCCAATAGGGAGATGTGAAAAAAAGAGTGGCGTGGCGAAAGGTCAAAGTTTGAGGCATAGCCACGCCCACATCTTTCAACTTTTGAAAAATCCGACGGTTGAATTTTTTCCCCTATGTCTTAAGAGTACATACCAGAAGTTTGAAGGCGATTGGTGAAAAGGGCGACGGAGCATCACTCTCCAAACAACGTGTGCGAAAACCACTAAATCGCGTACTTGGACCAAAATGGCCGACTTCCTGTGCGACTTTGTGCTTGGGTCCAAGAGACTTTTTTGTAGGTCCTGAAACACCACATTAGTTTATCAAATTACGTAATCCTCAGTCAAAGCATGGCTTGGTGATATTAGTTTAAATGGTCCTAGGGGGCGCTATTTAAGAGATTAGGCCACGCCCACAAACTTCAGCTGTCTATTTCTCTTGGGGGTCAGACTAGGATCACTCACCAGAAGTTTCGTAGCGATATCATGATAACTGCAGAAATGAGAGGCAAACGTATTTCCATGGCGTGATGGCGATTTTCGCCGTGCTCCCAAAGCCCCGCCTTTTTTCGAAACCTGCCGGTACTGGAGGCCAAGTAACCTCAACTTGTCTACTGCGACTTGCCAGAGATTCCTGGTGATTGGGTAAAAGGAGTCTAATAGGGAGCTGTGAAAAAAGAGTGGCGTGGCGAAAGGTGAAAATTTGAGGCTTAGCCACGCCCACACCTTTCAACTTTTAAAAAATCCGACGGTTGATTTTTTTCCCCTATGTCTTAAGAGTATATAGCAGAAGTGTCAAAGCGATTGGTGAAAAGAGCAACGGAGCATCACTCTCCAAACAACATGTGCAAAAACCACTAAATTGTGTACTTGGACCAAAATGGCCGACTTCCTGTGCGACTTTGCGCTTGGCTCCAAGAGACTTTTTTGTAGGACCTGAGACACCACATTAGTGTACGAAATTTCGTAATCCTCAGTCAAAGCATGGCTTGGGGCTATTAGTTTAAATGGTCCTAGGGGGCGCTATTTCAGAAAATAGGCCACACCCACAATTTTCAGATGGCTATGTCTCTTGGGGGTCAGACTAGGATCACTCACCAGAAGTTTCGTAGCGATATCACGATAACTGAAGAAATGAGAGGCAAACTTATTTCCATGGCGTGATGGCGATTTTCGCCATGCTCCCAAAGCCCCGCCTTTTTTTGAAACCTGCCACTACTGGAGACCAAGTGACCTCACGTTGTCTACTGCTATTTGCCAGAAATTCCTGCTGATTGGGTAAAAGGAGTCCAGTAGGGAGCTGTGAAAAAAAGAGTGGCGTGGCGACAAGTCAAAGTTTGAGGCTTAGCCACGCCCACACCTTTCAACTTTTGAAAAATCCGACGGTTGAATTTTTTCCCCTATGTCTTAAGAGCATATGGCAGAAGTTTGAAGGAGATTGGTGAAAAGGGCGACGGAGCATCACTCTCCAAACAACGTGTGCGAAAACCACTAAATCG